AGTTGGGGGGAGGAAGCGTTTAAGAACTAGAGGAAGGTTGTGGGTTTCATTATTGTTATACTGAACCCTAAGTGACTCATCTCCCCACTACCCCGTAAGCTATTATGGACCCATGAGGAAATGGCATGTGGGATCCCATTTGACCTTCTTTAGCTACATAAGAGAGGAGTATACAATTCCATATCTGCCCAAGGAACTCTCTATGAGGCATAAGTTAGGCATGCGTCCACCTGCCAACCATCTTTACCCTATCTGCCACCAACTTTTCTACCATGTTGCTCTATTTCTCTACTCAGTTTAATAATCCGTGGAAATAGAAGCACAGAACTCATAGGCAATACTCATGATTATGGGGTTTATTACTAAAGCTAACAAAACAGAAAAAGAATAAAGGTGCAGGCCTTTTGTTTACAGTGTCCCTTCTTAGTCATGTCGACAGAGATGTCTCTCTCTAGTCCTCAGTCAAAGAGACTCTTGGCCTCTGCCATGCTTTGGCATGTGTTACAAAACTTATTGTTGATAACTGTCTAAAGGGCATCCCAATCTGCAAGTCAGCCTCCTGCCCAACAGCACTCTGCTTTACTCTTTGTGTGGGCCTGGAAATCTGCAGCTTCTCCTAATTTCAGTCTAGAGGCTTCTGATGCCTTTGGTGCCATAGCCATCTGAACAAGGATCTTGCATGCAGTCTGTCAATAGCTCTTCTTCCTTAATGTTCCTATTTTGAGATAGCTCACTTTCTACCCAGAGGAATATCAAAACTGCTTATTGCCCTTGTTAGGGTCTTCTATACCTCATTTGCAGGATCACATCTAATTACCTGGTGGGAATTATTAAGTCTACATATATGAGAGCCATACCAATTAATATCATTGACCATCACTGGTATTGGACATTTTGAATTAGAAAATAATATGGTTTACTCTACCAGAAATGACAAATTCAAGATAAAAGGTGCTGTGTTGTCAAAAAAGAAAAAGTCAAGATCTTAAAGTACAATATTGTCTGTGAAAAGGTAATATATCTATATGCTTACACAGAAGACTAGTTAATACAATTATTATGCAAATGTATGCCCAAAACAAAGAGGAAGGATCAGTAGTTGGAAAACATGGCTTTGATGACAGAAACAATGCTGTAGATAGCATGATAGAGTTTTGCAGGGCCAATGATTTCTTCATTACAAATACAACCGCTCAACAACATGAACAGTGATGACTATATACATAGGCCTTGCCAGACAGAATACCAAGGAATCAAATTGACTTTATCTGTGGAAAGAGATGATGGAGTAGTTCAATATTATCAAGTTAAACAAGGCCAGGGTCTATATACAGAACAGATCATCAATTTTTTACATGCAAGTTAATTTAAAGATGTCAAAACTTGAAGTCCACAATAGTAAAAATATTACCTTGAATATATCCCACCTGAATTTAGAAACTATTTCAAGGACATATTGATTTACTAAACACTAATGATCGAAAAATGGATGAATTGTGGGATGACATCAGGAATGACATACATGAAGAATGTAAAAAGTCATTAGAAAGATAGGAAAAAAAGAATAGATCAAAATGAGTGTAAGGCGAGACTCAGAAACTTTCTCTAGAATGTAGAGCAGATAAAACAAATGAAAGAAATGATGAAGTAAAAGAGAAGAACCCAAAATTTACTAAGGCAACTCAAGAAGACGTGAAGCACTACAAGAAAATGTGTAAAAGACCTGGAATTTGAACACCAAATGGGGAAAAAAAACCACTCAGCTTATCTCAATCTTTATGATCTGAAAAAAAATTTCCAGACTCGAGTTGTAATACTAATGAATTCTGTGGGCAAAACAGAAAACAGAAGAAATACAGTCACTGTGCCAAAAAGAACTAGTAAACATTTAACCATTGTAGCAACAAGACGGATTCACAATGGCTACAACAATGAACTCATTACATAAGACCAAGACTAGGCAGTGTTTCTTTCCATTGTACATAGGGTTGCTATGAGTCAGAACTGACTTGATGGTACTGAACAACAATAGCAGCAGCAGCAGTATATGAACAAGAAATGCTGGTCTTGAAGAAAGAAGTCCAGGCTGCACTGAAGTTATTAGTGAAAAATAAAGCTACAGGAATTGATGAGATACCAATTGAAATGTTTCAACTAATCGAGTGCTTACAGCACTCACTAGTTCATCTCAAGATATTTGGAAGATAGCTACTAGCAAATGACTATAAGTGATGCATATTTTAGCCCATTACCAAAGAAAGTAACCCAATGGAATCAGGGAATTATCAAATACTATCACTATTATCATATGTAAGAACAATTTTGCTAAAGAGATCTGATTTAAAACAGTTGTAGCACTACATGGGCAGGCAGCTGCCAGAAATTCAAGCTGAATTTAGAAGAGGATATGGAATGAGAGGTACTATTTATATACGATGAATTTCAGCTATAAATGAAAAGACTACCAAAAATACAGAGGTTTACTTAGCCCAATATTAATCAAAGTACTAGAAATATAAAATTTAGTTAGTTAAAATTCCAAAATGTAATAGCACCCTCCAGTGCTAAAAATTCATCTTAAATTTAATCAGTAGGGATATTCTAACTCAGGAAGGAGGCAAGAAATGCCATTTAGATAAACAGTGGAGCATGAGTCCTCAAGGAATGGCAGTCTGACAACCCTGCAGAAGTGTAGGTATTAACTGATGGCCTGATAACCCCCAGAAGAACAGTTTCCTGTGAAGCCTGCTTCTTTTGCCACACTGCTTGTGGTCAATGCAAGACCTGTTTTTTGACACACAGTTTAAAGTATAAAAGTTGTTTGATTTTAATTGAACTTTTGAAGCAGTTTAGAGATAGTAAATTCCACTGTTTCCTACTGTCTTATTACTTATTCCCACTGTCTTATTACTTATTACTTGCAGAAATAAACTTATATGTTTCTCAAATCAACCTAGCCTCTCTCTTTGGCTGAAACAGTGACAAGTAATCTTGGACCCATGTTTTCTGGCATCACTAATGCTTCATTGACTATGTAAAAGTATTCTACTATAAATAACATTGTGATTAATTGGGATTCCAGATACTTAGCAGTGCCCAAACAACGTGAACATAACCCATGAGGCAGTTGTTTGAACAGAACAAGGTGATAGTGTACACTTGAAAATCAAGAAAGGTGTGGGTTGGAGTTGAATCCTCTCATCATATTTATTCAATTATTATGCTGAGCAAATAATACAAGAAGCTGGATTACAGGAAATATTTAGTATGAGGATTAAATGAAGCTTTATTAAACTTTGAGAACACAATTTTGCTTGTTGAAAGCAAAGAAGACTAAATGACTACAAACTTCAGACTTCAGTATGGATTACAATATAAACAGGAAAATAAATCTTCATGATGAATAAATAGACAAACCTCATGATAAAAGGAGAAAAGATATAAATGTTCAAGTATTTCCTTTTGCTTAGATCCAAAATCAACGCTCACAGAAAGAGACATCAAGAAATCAAATAACAAAGTGCACCTGGAAAATCTGCTGTAAAAGATCTCTTTAAAGTATTAAAAATCAAAGCTGTTCCTTAGAGCACTAAGGTATGTCTGATGAATATTTTCAATTTCCTCATATGAATGTGAAAGGTGGACAATGAATACGGAAGACTGAAGAAGAATTAATTCCTTTAGATTATGGTGTTGGCAAAGCACAATGAAAGTACCAAAGACTGCCAGAAGTACAAACAAATCTGTCTTAGAGAAAGTACAACCAGAAAGCTCCTTAAAAGTGAAGGTGCATAAGCAAATGTGGCGAAGAAAGCTGATGGTGCCCGGCTATCAAAAAGTATAGCGTCTGGGGTCTTAAAGGCTTGAAGGTAATCAAGGGGCCATCAAGCTCAGAAGCAACAAAGCTCACATGGAAGAAGCACACCAGCCTATGCAACCACGAGGTGTGGAAGTGATCAGGTATAAGGCAACATCAGAACAAAAAGTCTTACCATAGTGAATGATGGGGGGAGTGCGGAGTGGAGACCCAAAGTCCATTAGTAGACCAGTGGAGATCCCCTTGCAGAGGGGTCTCGGGGAGGAGATGAGCCAGTCAGGGGGTGATGTAGCAACGATGAAAAATACAACTTTCCTCTAGTTCCTAAATGTTTCCTCCCTGCTCCAACTACCATGACTCGAATTCTACCTTGCAAGTCTGGCTAGACCAGAGGATGTACACTGGTACAGATAGGAACTGAAAATACAGGGAATCCAGGACGGATGAGCCCTACAGAACCAGTGGTGTGAGTGGCGAAACAGGGAGGGTAGAGGGAGAGTGGATAGGAAAGAGGGAACCGATTACAAGGAACTATATGTGACCTCCTCCCTGGGAGACGGACAACAGAAAAGTGGGTGAAGGGAGACATCGGACAGGACAAGATATGACAAAATAACAATTTATAAACTATCGAGGGCTCATGAGGGAGGGGGGAGCGAGGAGGGAGGGGAAAAATGAGGACCTAATGCCGGGGGTTTAAGTCGGGAGGAATTGCTTTGAGAATGATGAGGGCAATGAATGTACAAATGTGTTTTACACAATTGATGTGTGTATGGATTGTGATAAGAGTTGTATGAGCCTCTAATAAAATGATTTAAAACAATAATAATAAAAAAACAGTGAAGGTGGTGAGACTTTGTCTCACCTACTTTGAAAATTATCAAGGGAAACTAGTTTCTGGAAAGGACATCATACTAGAGGGTAAGAGAAAAAGAGGAAGACTCTCAATAAGATAGACTTGACACAATGGCTACAACAATGGACTCAAACATAACAAGTGTTGTGAGGATGGTGCAGGATGGTGTAGTGTTTCGCTTTGCAGTAATAAGGTTGCTATGAATCAGATCTGATTTGATGGGCACTAACATCGCTACAATGTTATTTTCTCTATATATAAGGTCCCAGAATTTGTATTTTAGAATATGGAATGCCCTAAAAAATTCTAAAATAAAAAATATTTTACCTCAGAGAAATAAAAGAGGGCTGATTCACAGAACAGAATGTCAGCCAGGTAAACAGTTCCACTGGTCAGCACTTCAATCTGGTATTTACAGAAATGATGACTTCGCAGAAAATCACTAAAGTGCCTGCACATGGAGAAAAAGGGCAATTTTCAGAAAATGACCAAGAAAAGAAGAACTTTAACAGAAAAAAACTCCTTCTATGCATTGTACCTTAAAGTTCTAGATCAGCACAACCTTATTTCCTATCATGTCATATCTTATCCCGCTATCTGTATGCAATCTATCCTACCTATTAATTACTTTGTAGCTCTGGGTTGCTATTTACACATTACCTTGTATTATAGTAACCAAAAAATATGCCCTATTTATCTTACAAGGCTGTAACTTCCTGCAAGGCAGTTAACATGTCAAACTATAAATTACACAAAGCACTCTTCATTAATGTGAAGAATACATAGAAGTTTTCAAGTGAGTGCAGGAGTAATTAATTAGGAAATAAAAATCTGGAGGAATTTTAACAATTCTATGTGGAAAATACATATTAAATTTAGCACATGCACTAACTGAATATTATTAACATTTCCTCAAAAAGAAAACCAATTTTGATAGCAGAGAGTGAGTTAGACTGCTATTAATCAAACAATCAAAATTATATTAATCAATATAATGATTTAAGATTTAGCTGTTGGAAATCCAAAATGTAATGGCCCCTCCCTTGCAGTAAAATTTAATTTTAAGCTTAATTAGTATGGATGTTCTATCTCAAGAAGGCAGTATGCAAGGCCATTCTAAGAAGGAGCCAAGCACAAAGCATCCCCCATTTGGATAAGCAATAGAGTATGAGAGGTCAGGGGATGGCAGTCTGGTGACCAATGGAGAATTGTAGGTATCAACGCTTTCCTTCCTTTGATCATTGTAAAACTTATTTTGGGGCACAAAGTGTGTAGTATATAACTTGCTTGATTTTCACTAGATTTTTTAAAGCAGTTTGGGGGTAGCAAATCCCACTCTTTCCTTCTGTTTCATTCTTGCAGAAATAAGCTTAAAAAGAGTTTCCTGAATAAACCTGGTCTGTCTTTGGCTGAAACTGTGACAAGAAATCCCGGACCCTTGTTCACAACAATAGTTTTGGTTTTAATAGAGTTTACATAATGCATGTGAGTGTGTGTGTGTGTGTGTGTGTGTGTGTGTGTGTGTGTGTGTGTTAGGAACCCTGGTAGTGCAGTGGTTATACATAGGGCTGCAGTTTGAAACACCAGTAGCTCCTCAGAAGAAAAACTGGATTTTCTACTCTGTCAGGAGCTACAGTCTCTGATCCACAGGGCGGTCACTATGAGTCATCATTGACTCAATGGAAGTGAGTTTGGTTTTGGAGGCTTATGTGTATGTATATGTATGTACACATAGATATAAATATATAAAGGATAGAAATAATTACATATGTCTAAACTAAGATGTGTTAGAGTATGCTTATGTGATCCTTAAATACTGAAACTATTTAAATTAACAAAGGTAATTTGTCTTTAGTTAAATGAAGTATATTCCTAATACTAAACCCAATTCTCAAAAATGAAAAATTTAAAGTTTGAAGTTAACTCACTCTTGCTCCATTGCACTAAAGACTATGGACTGTGCAGAAACAAAACAGTTGGGATTCACCTGTCCATCTTCTCCACAAATTTTTGCTGTAAAAGAAATGGTAGCTAGTTAAATTTCTAGAAAATTCAAGCTATACACATTTGTGAATCAAACAAGGAAGTAATATTAAAGGCATTAAAATATATATACACACACCCTACATATATACACATATGAAAAGAGTATTCTGATAACATCTTTCTGAACATAGTAAGGGGACCCAAAAAGTTTATACAAAACTTCCATTATCTTTCAATTCCATTTTTCCATAAACCTTATATATTCCACTCGCGTAAACAGTTACAATCTTGGAAACTCACAGAGGTAGTTCTACTTTGTCATATAGAACTGAAATAAGTTGGCATCGACTCAATGGCAGTGAGTTTGGGTTTGGGTTTACAAACCCAAAGCAAAAATTAAGATATTTCAACCATCATAAAATTAATTTCTATACATTAAAACAACTTCCTCTACCCCCTGCAAAAAACAAATGTGAGTGGGGTCTGTAGCATGTATGACAATTAAGACGCTACTATCGTTATTAACATAATAATCAATTTTAGACTGCAGAAGTTACTAGAAATCTCCAGCTTCTTCACCTTTGTCTTTATTGATTGATATGTAAATTTAGCTACCTGTATTAACTGGTCTTATAGTTTCACTAGGCATGTTTTTCAGAAGTGAATAGTCAGGCCATCCTTTCATCTGTGTTATTCTGGAAGTTCTGCTGAATCCTATCTACCAGAGTGACCCTGCAGGTATCTGAATATTGGCACAACTTCCAGCATCAAAGCAGCATGCAAAACCACCACCACAGTATGACAAACAGCCAGGCATACAATGGCATACCATTTTTCTGAAGGGCAATTTGAAACTTTCTAAGCCTTGGGCTGTGTGATCCACAAGGTCAGAAGTTTGAAACCATCAGCCTCTCCTCACTTTGGATGTGGGAAACTGAACAGGAAGAGAATATATACAGCCAAATTCTCTACGTGCACAATTAAGAGTCTGGAAGGCTGACTCTCATGAAGGATAGAGAAAGGTCTCACATATTTGTGAGTAGAAATGACTCCCAGACATATTCTCCAGACTAAAAATCATCCCTACAATATCCCCCCACTATAGTGCTAATTTAAAGAAGTCTCTTGCGAGCCCATGGCTGCTCTTTATTTAACCAAAAGCTACCTATCTCTGACAGCAAACAACTTCTATTGTCCATCTGGTTCAAAGGTCAGTCTTCTGATCTCTGCCTCCAATACTGGTCATGGGTTACTCTGTGGGATACAAAAAAAGGCTTTTCCCTAATTTATCTCTCCGCAATATATGCCAAACCTAAGATGCTGCTTGACAGCACATGGTGGGAGGTCAGATGCTTGGAAATATTCTCCCTAAAATCAACAATTCAGCGCAATCAGACTTTATTGTCTGTCCTGCTATAGGTGGGGCTCACTCCCTGCTGTTAAGGACAGTGGCTTGCTTTCCTGGTGGAGAGCTCAGAATAAGTCAAGCCAGCAGCTCAAGGACCATCAAGGTTAGGCTGCCATCATGAATCTAGGATCTGCCCATCTTGGCACATGTGTACCCCTAATTCTCCCTCTTCCTATTGCGTGCACACCCCTAGATAGTCCCCCTCCCATTGCTGTATTGCCTATGATACTACCCCTTCCTGTGATGTATGCCATTACCTGTAATTAGGGGGCTTGCACACCCCCAAGTGTGGGATTATAAAGACACTTTTCCCCAGCTTTGTCTCTCCCAAAGATATGCCAAATATTAGAGGCTGTTTGCCAGCACTTGGTGGGAGGTCAGATGCTTAGAGATATTCTCCCTAAAGGCATCTGGTGGTGGGTTCTGTAGGTGGGGTTCACACCATGGTTTCCATGAAGAGCCAGAGAACAGGTCATACTTGCTTGGTGACATCCAAAGTTAGGCTGTCATCCTGAATCTAGGATCTACCCATCTTGTCACATGTGTGCCCCAATCCCTCCCCTTCCTATTGCATAGATACCTCTAGACTGTCCCCCTTTCATTACTGTATAACCTATAGTGCAACCCCTTTCTGTGAGGTATGTCTTCCCCTGTAATTAGGGAGCTTGCACGTTCCCAGAGAATATATAAGCTGTGGTTATCAATAATGCTCCCTCTCTCCACGTGGGCCACCAAGTGACACTGATGTGAGCATGCAACCATGAAATGTCTGACTCTATTATTTCAATCTCCCTTCTATCTCTCATGTTCTCTATGACTTTATTATAATCTTTATATATCCTAACCATACAATTGTGCCTATCAAACCCACAATTAGTTGTGGGGGCTAGCCTTTCCCCCATACCCAAGTATATATAAGCCTTGGTTAGAAATAAATCCACACCCCCTGCTGCTGAGACCATGGCCGTCCAGGAGGGGGAGCATGCTACCATAAAATGTGTCTGACTCCTTTATTTTACTCTCTCCTATCTCTCTTAATCTCTATGATTTTAATTTGATCTTTATATATTATCCCAGTACAGTTGCGCCTATGGACCAGTGATTGTTGTCAAGGGCTGGATGAGCTCAGGGATATATCTAAGGTTAGGACACTGCCCACCTTGCTATGTTATGTGTGATTGACGGGACTTGCATGCCCCAAGACCATTTATGCCTGTTGGAAAACACATATGAGCTCACTCTCTTGTTTCTTACTTCTGGAAAGGTGAGCCCTTTCACTCTTTGTCTTTCTCTTTATTTTCCCCCAATTACACAGCTGCTCCTCATAACCCTTTCAGTTGTGAGGCTGGAACTGTTTGGGCCGGGTCCAAACTAGGCAGCCCTGTTTGGACTAAGCTGAAGCCGGTCCAGGACCTGCACCTGCTTCCCTACACATCTCAAAGGTCAACAGCAGATGACACCAGAAAAGATAAATGCCAGATAAGATAACCAGTGAAATCAGATGCTCTGGGTTCAGAGAAAGCCTCAAGGAGTTGACAAGCAATTCTCCGGAGTTTCCAGAACCCATATGCTAATTGCCATACATTCCTCAACACCCCTTTAAAAACCCACACCCCCAGCTGCTGAGCATGACTTCCCTGACCTGTTGGCCTAGGTCATGGAACCTCGATCGGGAGCTCCCCCTAATAAAGTTATTTCTGTTTCTGCTCTCCCTTGTCCTGTCAGTTATGTCTGTCTGTCTCCCTGTACCTCAGTTTCACTTTTACATTTGGTGCCTGAAGCCCAGGAGGGGTAGTGACACGGGCTCCGTGCCTTCTCAGCCCTGCTTAGGCTGGGAAGTATCCCACCCCTACTCTCTGCTCGAACCTCCGGAGCCTGTCTGAACAAGTGACTTCTGGTCAGTATCTCTCTGTGTACGTTCATTCTGTCTCGTTTGTCGCTCCGGACACTGAGGACCAGCAAACTCATACGGGAACTTAGGGGTTGGTGGGAGGCTAACTAGCTTAAAGCCCTGAAAAACAAGTACGCAAGAAAGCTGAACGTGGTGCCGCCGCAGGGGTTTATTCTGCAACCCTAGTACCAAGAGGAGCTGGAAATAACTGCCTTTCCCCAAAAGGGGTGTGACGATAAGGCCAGTTTCTCATGTCCATCTTTTCTCATGTGGCCACCAGCCTTTAGTCTCTGTGTTTACCTCCTGGGATTCCTGCTAATAACAGACTCCTAGTACTAGTCCTAACAGTCACTGCACCTTCTGACAGCACTGGAATGCAGAGGGTGTGTCTGAGCCTTTTCTACTTGTGTGTTTTGCATTTGTAGCTCTACAGTGCTTTCTCTAAAATGTTCTGCTTCGCCTTCCTCTCATCCTGAACGAAGGCCTGACCAACCTCCATTTTTACCTGCCATAAAGCCAGGTCCCCCTCTCCCTCCTCTGCTTCCATCGTCTCTCTCTCTGATCCGAAGCCCCTGTCTGCTGGTTAATGCCGTAGGCCTGACCCAGGGAACCTTACTGTTCCGGAGAGTCCAGGACTATCCCACTGGGACACTAGTTCTAATCAGGACGCCTCTCAGGGTTACCGGGCCACCTCCTGACTGACGGGTGTGAACAGGGACCAGGGGACGCCCTTCTCCTCTGTCCATACGCCCTGAAGTTTAAGACACAATGGGAAGTCTTCTGTCCCAACCCCCTAAGGGTAGACCTTTGGGGTGCCTACTGCCAACCTTACTGAATTGGGTTTGGTTCCTGATCTCTGTCCTAAACACCTGGTCTTTTTCTGTAACCAAGTTTGGCCTCAATACCAATTGGACACATAATCAGAAGTCCTATATGTTCAGGTCTTTTTCTTTCTTTGCTCCCGTCCCTCTCTACTACCTGTCACCCTGATCAAGTTCTATTAGCCAAACACACTCTAAATCAGGTACCTGGCAGTACTCCCCTTCCGTCCTTCTCCGGACCCCCTGAGTCGTCTGCACCCCCAGTAAGGCGTCCTCCATATTCTGGGTACTCCTCACCATCACCTTCCTCTGCTAACCCCTCAACTCCCAAAGGCTGAGGCAACCGTGTCTCTGACACCTGTCCCCTCTTCCCCAGAGCCAGACCCTTCAGACTACCTGAAGTCTCAGTCTCTCTTTCTCTCCCACCTCCCGGACTTCCTCCCTGCTCAGGCTCCTCTAAGCCAACACCTGCAGCATCTGACAGACCTCTCCCAGAAAGGGAAGCAGCACACAAATCCATGGTCACCGCCCTGAGACTGGCAGGAGGGAGGGGTCAGAAAGCTCTGTGAAGTAAGGACTTTAATCGCCCGCTGCACTTTTGATTTCAATATCCTCTGAAATCTCGACAATTTCTGCCAGTAAACTCACAAATAGTCTTAGATTCTCTAGGTCCAGGCTTCCTTTTCTCTGCACTCCTGTCCCTTTCTCTGTATTTCCTGATTACCTTCCCAAGTCCTCTTGACTAAAGAAAATTCCTCCTCTTCTCCTGCTTCTGTTCCCCCTCTGGTGTCTACCTTTTCAGACCTGCCTTGACACCTTGTCTCTCCTCCTATTCACCCCTCTCCCTATTCTGGCCACCTGGAGCCCCCATGTCCTCTTCTCCTGATCTACCTACCTTGCTGACGGA